TTATAAATGGATTCTGAGCAGGGGTCCTCACTAGGGGTGGGGAAGGGCTTCCTGAGAAGAAGCAACCCCTATAAGTGCAGGCAGGTGTGAAACCATACATTTGCTCCTATTGGTTTGAGTCCATTTTCTTCACCTAAGGTTGGGACTAGAGTAAAAGTTTCTACTCTTTCTCCTTCCTGTCTATGATAGGAATCACCCCCTCTAGGCTTTTCCCTGCCCCTCCAAGGCCAGAAATGATTGGCAGGGGAGTCTCCAGGTAAGAAAATGCTGAGTTGCTTCCTCTGAAACATGGACCTTGGCATATTCTCTCCCAACTGGAGGATTCCAAGTCTTCCTTGAGAGGGGCCCTATGCACATCTTGCCAGAATTTGAGATGTTGATGATTGTGGCATTCTGAGTGACCAAGTATGACAGGCTTTGGAAAAGGCTCTGATTATTCCGAGAGTGTGGCCTGTCACATGGAGCCCCTCCCCTGACAGCTGCAGATACAGTCATCAACTTTCTAGGAAACGGATGACCATACTGCCTTCGTGTCATGTTAAACTGGATGACTCAGTCTTAAAAGAACCAGAAGAGAGGAAAGAAATGAATTCTGTAGATACATCTTATAACTTATGTGAACCTCAAGCATGCAAATTCCAAGCTATAACAAAAAGGGACATAAGAAGGCCCACTCAAAGCATTACTTTTGGCCAAAAAAAGAAGAAAAAAAAAGGAAAGAAAGAAATGGAAAGGTCTTTAAAAACATATGTTAACTTAAAAATTTTTTAAGCTTTTCAAAATGAGAAGTAGCAAGCATTTATTTGAAATCAATAAGAATAGCTATTCTAGAATCATTAATTCAGGCAGAAGCCCAGTTAATGTTCCAGATAAGAGACAAAGGCAATGGGTGTTTATGAGGAGGGAAGGGGAGCAATTGCATCAATTGAAGGGAGGCATTTCTATTGGTGCAGATAATATAACAAAGTGATGCTAATTCTAAATAATGTTTTTTTAATCTTAAGTCTGGTAGTCATCAGTCCAGTAGTCACAATAACTACTTTCTTGTTATCTTGTTATCTTTGCAAACAGTTCTTTGGACATGTTGCTTTAGATCTCCTTTTAGCCCAGTTCAGAGACTGGTTTGCCCTGATAGTAACATTCCAAAGGTTTGAAGTGTAAGATGTGCACAGCAGAGGCTCTGCTTTATTTTGAAGTGCTTCCACTTATATTATTGTTTACACATGTAACTTTTTAGTTATATTTATTAATCCCTCTGAGGGCCAGGTTTTTTCCTGGGGGCTTGGGATAAAAGGATGAGAATGATTTGCCTCTGGCCCAGGAGATTTCTGTGCAGCTAAGAAGACCAATGTCTAAATAAAAAGTTGTAATACGGTATGATGAAGGATCTACTAGGGAGATTTTATTTTTAATGTGATAGGAGCATGAAAGAGGGAATAATTAAATAACTCCTGGGGACTCAAAGGAGAGAAGTTGACTTTTAAACTACACAAGGGGAGAGGAGAAGTTTGTTTTTAATTGAACCACATGAAATTGCCAACATTCTATTCTATTTAACATAGAAACAAACAGTCAATTTCATATGGTTGAACTTAACAGTAAGAGCAGGACTAGTATGGAGGGCTCATCCCTTTCACTGACTGATTGAATAGTCGTAACTGCCCAGAAGCTATGTTGAGAATGATTCTGAAAATTCCAAGCCAAAAGGAAAGAATGATATGGGAATTGATTAATGGTCAGTCCTAAGGAATGAATATAAAATGAACATAATTGCCATACTTAAATTATAAGGAGCTTTATAAGCAAAAACACAAGACTAAGGATGTCACCATACTTGTAGACTGTTAATGGTAGTCAGAAGTAGATGGTCTACGTTGGGGTGTAATGGGCCGTGGATGGGAGACTCACTTTTGGAGACTCATTAGACAGCTGTATCACAAGGTGCTGTCAATGACCTTGTAAGCACCCCTGGTACTGCTGCTTCTATGCCATTATCTATTCGACTTCCTCTTCTTAAACAAACACACAATTACTCTCCCCCACAGAGGTTACAGTATTTTTCTCCTCTGCTTTGCTTTTGCCTAATTCAAAGCTTTCTTTTAAGAAAAGGTCACAATGTACTAAGAGATCATGCAATAAGTACTTTGCAAATTAAATTGGAGGATGTTTTTAGGTAAAATCAAAACCAAGTCCTGTGACTATATAGATTTTGTCTTACAAAGGTCAAAATCATTGCATAAAGAAATTTTTTAAGTACTAAGAGGGCATTCAAGGAAGCTATTTTAGTCCACTTTCTCAGAACCCACAGCATAAGAAAATTAGGAAAGCTTTATTATGCCCTGCCAGGATTTAGCTTTCTAGAGAGAATCTGTATTGTGTCCCAATGGAACTCCTGCATTGCATTGAGGTTATTGAAAATTGACCCTATGGTTTTAACTGCACATGCTAAAATGTCCGTGCGCTACAATTACATATTTTTCTTTTGAAACCTAGGCACCCCCAGAAACTTCGGGTCTCTTTGTAAAAGTGGTTTTTAACCAAGAGCACACAAGAAAGAGAACTTTTTCATGATCTACCTGCCTGAGTCCCACCCTAGAAGACTCTGCTTTGGTAGTTCTCTCTCTATCCTATAGAAACATGAGTTTTTCTCTTGGAGTTCTAGCAATGAGAAAAAGTGTGCAGGTGACCTCTGCAAAGTTGGAATGAGTTTCACCAATAAAGTAGAGTAGGGGTTAAAGCCTGTCTTTTCTGCTGGGTGTCCTGCCTCCTGTTGGTTGATTTTAGATCCCACACCCTATGATCTGAAGTTCAGTTGTTTGCTGTTAATCCCCATAGTAGATCCATTTCCTTACAGAATTGGAAATACCCACTGAGGAGAAATTAAACCATGTGAAGTGTCTTATGTTGCAATAAACTGTCCTTAACTAAAGTAGAAAGAAGAAAGCATTGTCGGTTTAGCAAAGGTTGATTATGACTCAGACCCATCCAGAGTCTTAATATATTTACTACCAAGAGGAGGTCAGTGAATTTCACTCTTGCATCTAGGACTTTGTGGGAGGATAAGATGGGTGGGGGCTGTCCCCTGGCTGTAAGCACAGGACACCAGGGTAAATGGCAGAGGGACTAGGGGACATTCCTTCAGATAGAACTTCCTTCCAGGGACTATATCTGCTTGTCACACACCGGATGGAGTGGGCCAACCTGGTGTTGGGGGAGGGTGAGATGAGTTAGGAATTTTAATAGAATCTTTGTATACCCTGGAAATAATGTACAACAGGGGTGTCAAACTCATTTTCACTGGGGGCCACATCAGCCTTCAAAGGGCCAATATAATTTCAGGATTGTATAAACATAACTACTCCTTAACAGTTAAGCAAGAGCTTGGCACTGCCACCAGGTAGAAACAAGGTGTTGGGCTGGATAAAACAAGATGGAGGGCCAGATTTGGCCTGTGGGCTTTGTGTGTGCCACCTGTGCTGTAGAAAATCCAGAGAAACAGGGAACAGAGGGGAGAAGTAGAACTTGGGGATGGCTTCTCAGTCCCCTCATAGGATCCCTCTGTTTTGGCTTAGTACTTGAAGGATGGTGGAACAGAGTCAGGAAGGCCACCTTTGGAATTGTGTCTGGGTTTGTAATTCAGGAAAGATTATTGTCTCTTAATGGCTTCATCTGGCATTCTCTCTCTCTCTTTGGTGAGTCCCCACTCATGCTGGAAGTTTTAACTGCACTTTTGTCAGACTTGGGCAAGATACAAAAAAATTATATAACCACCCCCTCCCCTCACCACCCGAGGTCAAGTTTCCAAGAATACAGGTGAGTGTCAGGTTCCCTAAGGGTACAGACTTCCTTTCATGGCAGATTGCTTTCCAGTTGTGATGATGACAGGAGAATACTGAAACAAATGGAGGCAGCTGACCTTGCCCAGACAGGGAAGTGAACAGAAACCCCAGGAATGTATTTCCATCATCAGTAATGGGCTGAAAACTCCTCAAATGTCTCTCTTACTCTTTTCAAAGCCTTTCATTTGAGCTCTGCAGCAGCAGGAGAGCAGAATTGATATCCCGAGATTCCTGACCCTGGTCATCCTTGGAGTGGGGTGGTTGTGCAAAACATGGCATAGATTGAGGAGCTATCTCAGGATTCCACCATTCTTCTCCTCCGTAAAATTCCATTTTGCAAGGATAAGCCCGGTGCCCTTTGCTTTAAATCAGGCGGAGGAGAGTCAGTGGTGCAATGCAGCTGGGGTTGGTTTGCAGGGTTAGTGACAGAGCCTCTCCCATGGAAGGCTGGGGACTTGAGGAAAGGAACAGAAAGTGCAGAAGTCATAGATCATCTCATCCTGGGTCCAGAGTGGGTCCTGGAGGGTCACAGGAATGGCAAAAATTGCATTTGTTTCTTCCCTGCCTCATTCCTGTTCTTCCCCTGAAGAACTTACTTGGAACAACTTAAGTTGGGGGAAGGAAAAATTTTCTGTAAACATATCAATGCATGTGCTTACAATTTACTGAGTAATGATTATGTGCCAGCCCCTCTGTTGGGGGCATGTCTCCAGTCATATAATTCACAACCCTCGTGGAGGTAGGTATATTCACCACATTTTCTAGGTGGGAAACCCAAGGCACAGAGAGGTACAGTCACTTGCTATGATCACACAGCTAAGTAGTGTCTAATTCACACTTGTTATTTCATTTTCTCTGAAATTTCTAGGTTCCCTTTTGAGCATGGCATTACTAATCTGAAACTGGGGTCCTGGGGCGGCTGGACCCCACCAGTCCAACCCCATGTTGAAAACAAATGACATAAGCTTGGTGGGCTGGGGATGGGCTTTCACCAACTCCCTTTGGCTAATGCAGGGGGCTTCTGTGGGGGTCCCTGTTATGCACTCTGGGGCATGGCTATGTTTTCATTTCTCTGCCTTTCTCATTTGTGTTGCCGTGATCTCTCAGGTGTAGTGTGCCTGTTCCCGAACCAGATACCATCTATCTCTCTCTCTTTCGTAGGCACGGTGCTGTTGTGCCAGGCAAACCAGGAGGGATCTTCCATGTACAGTGCCCCCAGTTCACTTGTATATACTTCTGCAAGTAAGCCCATGTTGTGGCTCTCTTTTTGTTTTGTGACATAACTCTGAGTCCAGTCACCTTCCCTGCCATGTAAGTTCTCTTTCCCTCCCTCTGCACCACCCTCCCGTGTGGCTCCTACGAGGTGAATTTGACTTTTGTAAGCATGTCTATGTTTTCCCCATTGCCTTGGCATCTAATCCCTCTGCTCATTATGTCTGAATTCTCAGTTCCCAGATGTCCCAGCCATTCTTTGTGAAGACCTGTCAGGATTTGGTCCGATGCATGGGACAGGGGATATTGAGGTGGGGGTGGGGGTGGGGGTAAAGCCTCAGCTCATTGCCTGCCTTCTATCACAGCTTTGTAAAATAATATGCAGAAAATTCAAGTAAAATATTCATGCCATTCAACCAGCACCCTAGCCCAGCAAAAGGTGCTGGATTAGCCCTCTTGAGTACAATTTTCTCACTGTGGGAAATATTACAACTCTGCACTCATAATTTGTTTGCCAGGCTGTTCTATCATTGGCTATATGAGTGCACTGAGGAGGGGAGAAAGAGAGGAAAAAGTGTGGTTGTCTCCACATTTAATAGGGGGAAACAACAATATGAAGGTTCTTTAATAGATATAACTATACCCCTGAAGAGCAAGGGGAAGAAATAACTTCCAAAATAACTATGGAAGCTAGACCACAAGGTTGAGGTAGAAAAAACAAGGATTTCTCTGCCTGGTATGGATGCTCTGAAGAATACCCACTCCCACCACAATTCCCAGAGCAGGACCTAAAGTCCCCACCATGATCCTACCATGGTCCCCAGCCAGTTAGTCCCCGCGCTCCCTGCAAGCCTCCCAGCCTCAGTCCAGACATTGTCATCTATTTCATACTGTGTGTGCACCCTGAAATTCCTGCAGCTACTCAAATGGGTCCTCACTGAGATCAGCGCTCAAAAATGAGTCTGGGGACCAGAGAGAAGGAGGGATGCTTCTGAGACTGGCTAGAGAAGAGGGCAGTAGAGACAGAGGACACGGGCTCATGATAATTAAGAGGATGAGAGACAGAGGAGAAGTCTCACCATGTGCCAAAACTGAGCATCTCAATTCCCAAGGGCTGAGACAAACCCAGCTCTTTGCTTTGGGGCACTTGTTAGAGGTAATGACAGGGACCCCAAAACATGATAATGAGCAATATGAGTATCCCTGAAAGCTTCAAGTCATGGGGGCAGCCAAGTGCTTCTACCTCCCAGAGTATAGTTCTCAATAGCAATTTTGACATTCATGAAATGCCAGGTCCCCAACAAGCCAAAATCTAGTCACACTGGCCAGAAATGTTTCTTTCTGAATTTATGAAAATTGTCCCATTTGGGCCAGTATAAATAAACATGCATATATCTCATAGATTAGAGTGCCATTCTACCTTTTCACAAGCTCAACCTTGTTTGATCCTTGCAAAATCTGCATCAGGTAGGTTTTGTAATGTTTTCTTTACAGCCTAGGAAATAGAGGGCACTGAGAGGTAGAGTCACTCACCCGGTCACACAACCAGTGTGTGGCAGATTTCTTTTTCAAACTTGGGAAAACGATTTGGCCTTCAGGTGCTTTCCTGGCTCCATGTGACTCTACATCCCATCATCATTGCATTGCACTTGTTCCTCCCTCTTCTCTATAAATGCTATTTTTGAAGGAGAGTTGGGTTGAGTTCCCAAGTATTATTTAGCTTTTTCTTTAAGGTGGTTGTCCTATGGGACCAGATGGGGTGAGATATTCTATCTCTGTACTGTCCAGTGCATGTGCTCCCAGGACCGAGGCACTGGCTTTTTCATTTTATTTAATTTCAATTAGTGTTACACTAACAAGCCTTGTGTAGCTAATGGCCACCATATTGGACAGTGTGGCTTTCTACAATCATAGGTTGCATTTATATTTCACTTTCCAGAACAGAACCAAATGAATTAAGTCTGAAAAGGGGCTAGTTTTAATAAATGCAGCTATTCTAAAGTGCCTTAAGGAAAGTGTCATCCACGTCGAATATGGACCATGCTACATATGGACTATGAAAACAGGTGAAACATACAGTTTAAATGAAGTCATGTGAAGCAGTGGTCGGCCAACTACAGTGCAGGGGCCAAATCCAGCACTCAGCCTGTTATTGTAGGCTTGTGAGAAAAGGTTTAGGTTAAAGGGACTAGGTGGCCCACAGAGCCTTAAATCTTGATAATCTAGCTCTTTACCAAAAAAAAAAAAAAAAAGTATGCTGATCTCTGATTCAAAGTGTCTATTTCATCATTGAAAGTAGAAAATGGGAGTGTTGCTTCATTGTTTATGATGGTACTTTTTAAAATGATGTTAAGAGTAAAAAATTATAATAATTATAGAAACTGTATGATGTATGTCCAACACCCTTCATTTGAAAATTGCATAATCAGTTATGTCATCTACACATTTTCATTCTATATTTTCACTTACCATCATGTTATGTGTACTTTGTGAAAACATGTTAATGACCTCAAAATAATCTACTGTTTAATGATATCACAGCTTAATGTGTCCCCCCTCCATTTGGGGTACTTAGGTTGATAGCAATTTAAAAAAATAATGAAGAAAGTGAGTGTCCTTGTATACAGTAGTTTTTTAAAAAATAACAACTAATAGTTAATCCTCCTATCTCGAAACAAAACAAAACAAAAAAATAGTTTTTTCTTTACAGTTGTTGACCCTTTAAGCAACGGTATTTTGACTAACAAGCTCAGTTAGGGCAACCAACCTAAGATCTCCCCTTCTCTACTTGGGTGGCTAGAAGGGCCTTAGATTATTTTAAGCTTGAGGCCATGCTTTGTTGCTGACTGTAAAGATTATCCATTCCTCCTAAGGCACATGGCTGAGGCTTCCCTTCTCCTTCAGTTCTCCAAGTCAGCAATGCCTTTTTGGGCCAGGCTGTTTGTGGTTAGCTGGCTTCTTTGCAACATTTATTTGGGTTTCTTCTTCCAGATTAAGATGTACATTCTGGCATAATGTCACACTTCATTTTCTATTCATCCAGCATGTAAAGGGTCATTTTTACATGTGCACACACAGACATGCACACAGGATACATACACCATCACCTGAGATACCTTTCCTCCCTCCAGATCTGATCTAACCATGGTCTATATTTGCTTGTGAGCTCTGTACAGTGTAGCCTCTTTTTCTCTTAAGTATGCAGCCTTTTCCTCAAAAGCTGAGCTTCCATTACTTCTCAGCAATCATTTAGGATTCACCTGCTTTTTAACTTGACGGCACATATTTCTCACTTTGGGATAACCATCTTGGTGCTGGAGAAAGGTGTGTATATATTACACTTTTGTAAATTGTATCCTATGTGTTATGACCTTTATGATTACTCCTGAGTTTGTATTTTTTTCATACTTCTTTAACTGGCCTTGGATATTTTAGACATAAATTGTCCTTCTTCCTAGCCAAATAGCTCATCATCTGTAAATAATACCCTTAAATGCAGTAAGGGAGATGGTTTGTAAAGGAGCCCTGCTGAATTAGTCAGTAATGAAAAGAACGCCTACTGAAGTTATGTTTTTTAAGATGCATTTTTGCATAATGGGTGCCCCCCCCTTAAGTGAGTCATCTTAGTAATGTGACCCAGGATATAAAAACATTAAGAGAAAAACAAAAAAGGCTGTGTCAATACAACCTAACCTCAGAGAATCTCCCATCTCACCCCAAATGACTCCAGGTTCTCCTCCTTGCCCCCTGTAGCTGAGTGTGAAACCCTAGTTAAAGTTGTCTCACAGGTCATCACATGTCCTGAGAAACCACTAATCCAGAGTGTGCAATGGGCCTACTTTCTATCCAACTGAAATCAAAGCAAAACTCCAAAAAATTGCAATATCACCCTGTCCCAAATGCAAAACATGTAATATTAATATTGTTGTCTTAAACATTAATTTTAATCAATGAAATTAAACTAATAAAACCCTTTTATTTATTTTTAAATAAGTTTAATTCATTAATTGACCATGTGTTTGCTTCAATAGCAAACAACACAAACCCTATGGCCAGCCATCTATAGGCTTCATCTGTTCAAGGTGGAAGGTACCAGGTGCAGTTAGTACTGTTTGCATAGAGTGAGTGAGTGTATAATATGAAAAATGTCTCCAGGCAGAAATAAGAAGTAAAAGAACATGTCACCTGTTTCCCAAGTTAAAGCATTACTCCCATTTTTATTTGTTGAAATATGAAGTGTTAACTCATTGGTTCCATAAATGGGAAAGTCCATGTCCAACATGAATTAGCAAAGCCAGAAATCACTCATCCTTATTTCCAAATGGAGTAGATGTTTCCAGAAGCAGGTAAATATTATCAGCTTTATTTCATTTTCTTTCCAATTTTATGAGTAGATTTTAAATGGCAAAAGTGACTTGTGCTCACTGTAAGCAGGGAAACATGAAAATAAATACACACACGCAAGTATGGAATAATATGGTAACATCCTCACTTTACTGAAAAACACAAATCCTTAAAGTAATGCACATTGACTCTCTGGTGAGTATCTGTCCACATTTCTTCATAATGATGCAAAGGACATATATACATGCAATAGAGGTGTTAGAAGTATGATTTTATACAGAAGGGAGTACACACATTCATATTATGTTCACAGTGCACATATTACTCATGTTTTGTTTCAGTTAATAACACATATTGACCATCTCCCATTAAGCCTTTTGATACTGTCATGCTGTTCCACGGCATGGGTGGTCCATAGTTTATTCAACCATTCTCTATGCATAGTAGTTCAAGCTCCTCTTTTTTATATCCTCTCCATAGAGACAGCATAGATAGCAGCAAACATTTTTACATGTACTCTGACACATCAGCACTTCAAATTTTACATCTGGGCTCCCAAACGTGGGACTGTTGGTTCTGTCCCAGTGTTCTTGCCAGCATGTGCATGTATTGCAAATTGGATGGTTGAAAGACTGCATCTCAGTTTGCTCCAGTTAGCATTTGCCTTTCTCTTAGCAAAGAGCATC